AGTCAGGTTGCTGAGTCTCAAAGTACACCCTCTTCTAGGGTTGCTGCCATCAGAAAGAGTCATGTATGTGCAGCATTGAGTGAGATGATAGGGATGGTTGCTCCTGATATGAAAGAGCAGTTCGTTGGTGCTACGGATGTAAATCCTCATGAAGACAGGGACAAGCAGAATTCTGGCTCTAACTCAGATACAGAGGGCTGCACTGACAATGATGATAATAATGTTGTAGATGGTAAAGATGGATCAATTTCAGATACCGAGACAGAAGATAGCAATGAAGCTGACAATGATATAAAGCATGCCGCAATGGAGGAAGATGATGAAGCTACCCAACAAGATTCTGTTGGATAGGATAAAAGTTTCTTGTACATAGGAAGTCCTTTCTCTGCTCTGCTTCCCCCATTTGTATGCTTCTGATGGGGAACTAAAGGTGTAAATGGTAAATAATCTATCAGCCATTTTGTCTTTGAACTTCATTTTCTTTATTATCTTATGTATATTTGCTCTCTGCTGGATTCTCACCCCAGTTTGTATCAGATTCTTGACTTCATCTCAACTATCTTGAATTTTTCTCTTTTCCTGAGAAGAACACCTTGATTAGCAGCAAAAATTCCTGCAGTGACATTGGACTGCTCGGAATGCAAATTACCAGGAGGATGCTAAAGGTTTGTATTTAGTACATTGTTATGGATTAAATCTCTGTTAATCTATTTATTCCTAAAGGTAAATCTGGTGAAAGATTATTTTTCACTAATGGTAGTATTGGGATCTGAATAAAATGTAACCTCTCAATGCATTACAATAAGTTCAATATGTTACATCTACAGTAAACATATCTCGCCCTGTAAACCAGAGGTGATGAGTTCGGCAATTAAGTGAGCATGAATCCCCAATGAATATAAAGTAGAACATTGATGAAAGTTATAGTATAGCAGTAGGATCATAGAAGAAATTGTATACTGTTTTATGCTAGGTGCACTAAGGTAGAAAATAAGAAGCACTTATTTTTATATATAAAAAAAAGTCAATATATAGACAATCCTAGACTGTCTTGATCATGTATGGATCTTAGGACAACTCTTGCGTCACAAGATCCATTTTGTGGTCTTAGGACTGTGCTGGGATTCTGAGACCATGCACGAGCAGTAGAACAGTGCTCCGATTCATGGGAGCGCACCTGGTTATAGGATTGTGCCTAGTTTTTAAGGTCACACCTGGGTCCCTTCAGGATCCCTGGTCTAAGTCTGGGACCTTGTCTGTGCCTTGGGATTTAGGTCTCGGAGACAACTGTATACAGGACGATAGAGAACCACATCTCACTTGGTAATTTTTTCTTTCAATCCAATGAATTAATAGAAAAAAAATGATTCCATTTAAATTCTTTCAATCATTTCTAAATGCATTATTCAACAAGAGAAAAAGCTTAGTACTTTGCGATTGTGCAAATCCATATAGGCAAATGCAAATTTACATTCCTTTGGTTGTATGATGACTTTACAAAAAGAAGCAATGATACTCAGGAGTATAGACCAATCTAATGGACAATCTGCAATGCATAATTGAGAGTCAGAGATTTCATGGATGTCTAATTTGAATTTGGAAAGGTAAGGATGATGATGATGATGATGAGGATGATGGTGCTGGTGGTGATAATGATGATGATGATAGTTTGGACCACATGCATGGTTGATGGTGAGAGCAGCTTCAACTGTCATCATTATCAAATGGTGCATGTGAAATTTATAATATTATCATTAGTTCTTGCTCTTCCTTTTTTCACTTTTTGGCTTCCTGTCGGTTCTCCCCTACTCTAGTACCTTAGTTTAGGTTTTCTTCGTTTCATGCCCAAATGGTTTCTCAAATTTAATTAATTAGAAGTAAGAGTAGTTGAGTCTGTTATGGATATGATAATATTCCTTGTCATTGTAAGAGCACTTCATCTTCCCTAGACCTCCAGGTTTTTATCAGTCTAGATTCACATGGCCTGGCTGATCCAAGGACAGATGAAGGATGAGAGTCCAAACTGAAGACTAAAATTTAAATGAAAATTATTTTTTACTTTCTATACTTCCTATCATCCAAATTTATCCATTTTGGTTCCAATTAGAACCAAACCAAAATTGGGTTTCAAACAAAGTTTGGTTTGGTTTCGTCCAAACTGTTTGATCAAGTCTGGTTTTTTGATCAAAATTTGAACACCCTTATCTACACCTTACTTAATATCCAATAGAGGAGTTACAACAGGTCGTGGAATCCAATTTTTTCTTGGTGTCGTTCGGTTGACTGGTCGATCAGATTGGGTTTATAAGACAAGAATAGTGATCCTAAACCTATTAAATATAGTTGTTAAACATATACTCGGTTATGAATTGAAAATCATATAGAAAGATTTAGAATATAGTTCATTACTTACAAATTTGTTGTGGTATACAAATATTTTATTATAGATAAAATATATATATATATATTTAAGGATTAAAAATTCTATACAAGATAAGTGTTTCTAAAAAAATTATGCAAGTATCATAAGCAATAGGAAAAAGTTATTTACAAAATAAACTGTATCCAGTAATTTTTGCATGGATATAATTTATTTTTAAAAATAACGAAAAGCAAATTGTGTACGTTATTATTTAAAATTGTAATAAATAATGCTGCTACCGAATTGTTGTCAGAAAAAAATAATAATAAATTCAGATTTTAAAATGTGGTTAAATACATAATGGTTTTAAAATAGCAAAAAGGTATCAATTTTGGTTTATTAAAGATATTTTAGTAACAAACATATAGAAAATAGATGTAGTTGAGATTTATGACATTTCATTTCAGACTTGTTTTTTTAATGCCTTCAAATATTTTAATCATTGAAATTTTGATAATGAAATTGAAACATTTTTTCTGGATTATCAAATAGCTTTGTCATTTTAAATCTAACAACATATAATACCCTGAACAGTGAAGAAAAATTTGATCTGAGTAAAATTTTTAGCCAAAAAGAAAACTTGAATCATTATGAAATGGGAGTCAAAATGTTGACAGCTGTAGAACAAGGCTGGCAATTTTAGAAAAATAAAAAAAAAAAAGAAAGAAAGAAAGATAACAAGTCATGAACGTGGGTGTAAAAAATATAAAATATTTTTATATTATAAATTCAAGTTCAAGTTTTTTAAAAAAATATATATATTATAATTTATATGTATCTAATAGTTAATTAGTGAAATATATAAATTTTTATTATAAAAAGAAATAAATAAAATTGTGAATTTGGGCTTTCGTGTATTTTCATTAATGTTATTATTAATATGTGTATTAATTAATTAAGTACATAAATTTTTATTGATAAAAAATAAAAAATAAAATAGAAAAAGTTCAGATTCTTAGGCATATATATATACAAGGAAGAAATCCAAAGGCAAAGGCAAAGTAATTAGATTAGTTTTGAATATGAATGGAAGTTTCATTTGATAGTTGACTACTTCATCTCCATATGCTGTCTATTTTGAAGTCAGTTGTACAAAAATGGAGGTGGTAGCATAAGAAATGAGTGAGAGTGAAGGCCATAGTGGTTTTAGTCCTCATA